ACGGCTGCACTTCGCAAGGTGCTCCTTTCTTCCTACAAGTTAAGAACAAGTTTAGGTAGAACCAGTTTGGTTAAATTCTACTTAACACAAAAGACTTGGGAATACAGAATTCCACAAACTGGTAGGAATTACAGGGTCTACTTAGGGAACTGAATTAATGAGAGATACATATTTTAGTCAGTTCCAGGTGACTCAGAAATTGCCTCTGTTATAGAAAATTGAGTGAGACCTGGGTGGTGTAATCACCAACCTGCACTAAATCACTAAACCACATGGCTGGATTCAGAATCTGTATTCTTCAAAGTTCAAATTTCGTACAGATTTCATTTTTGAAAACTTGAATTAGCACCTGAAATAAAGTTACATATGGATATATACAGGTAATAGTGAGTTTTGATTAATACTTTTAGTGAACAACTAAAGCGCTTTTAAAATTCATAAAGTATATATACACTTTTTAAAAAGTTTTACATAAAGTTATAGAGAGAGCCCTGAACATTGACATAATGCGCAAAAACATCAAGATAAATTTATTAGATTCAGGGATAACCACTCTCTTTTCATAATACCTGAGGTTAAATTTTGATTTAACAGAAGAATTCATTCTTTAGTGAAACTAGTAACTACATAATTAGGTAAACACCATTTATGCTAACAAAGAAGACTAATACACTAGACTGACATCATGGCTTCATCTTTTGTCAATAGCAAGAGTTTTGACATGATAAACAATTATCTGGCCAAACATTTCAGAAAACTGGTGGTCTTTAATAAACTCAGATATTCGTGCTCCACGACTCAGTAATTAATGCACTAGAGTGCCCATATTACCATCGGTGCTGGTTAGCAATGCTGAACATAAAAAGCAAACTAAAACAACAGGATACCATTCACATAAAAAATTTAAAACCTGCAATAGCACATATTGCTAAGGGATACATATACTTAAAGAACTACAGCTCAATGCACAGGAATGACAGAGATCAATACGGGATAGTGGCCACCCTGGTGGGAGGAGGGAAGAACATGGGAGAACACAGTGGCTTCAACAGTGCTGATTAGGTGGGTCCACAGGGGTTCATCTTCTTAGTCCTTATCCCTTGTTGTAGGTCTTGAATACTTCATAATAAATTAGAAAACATTTTTCTGCCAGATGACAAAATTCTGTTTATACTGCCAGATTTCATGTAATCTTGATGAATATATGAGACTAACACATAACAAGAATATTTTTGTGCTACATCACATCTTCCAACAGAGTTACTGCTTCAATTTTTGAAAACATTCTCTCACTGAACAAATACTTACTGAACACTGTATTCATTTTCTCATTCTAACTACTGAACCCCACTACATGCCAGACAGATAAAAGAAGCAAAATTACTGGTCTCTGCCCTCATGTAGTTTAAAACCTAGTGGAAGCAGCAATTAATCAAGTAAGTACATGATTAACAACACTTTACACCTCATCACTCCTTCCTTCTTAAAAATCCTTCACTTGGCTCATCAAATTCCGTACTAATAACCTGACTTTCCTCCTAAATCACTCGCTGTCGCTTTTTCATCTCTTTTGCTAGTTCCACCTAAACACTAACTAGGACCCTTCTCTCGTCTATATTCACTCTCTTGGTAACCTCACCCACACTTGTGAAATACCTCTACAGTGACCTCTCTCAAACTACATTTGAAACCTGGACAAATAATATAGTTACTATTACCTAATTCGGCCTTCTAACAAACATGTAAACCCAAACATGTCCAAAGAGCCAAACTCCTGCTCTTTCCTCCACATCTATTGCTCTGGTCTTTCTCCACAAGGCAGTGTTGCACATAATATTCTAAATGAATGGCAGCCCCAGGAGTTGTGAACACAATAATAATAATTTTCTATCTCAGAGAATATCAACTACATGCTTCTGGTGTCAGGCCAAAAACCCTGGCATCATCCTAGACTCCTCTTGCACGCAGTGTCTGACAACTACTCACCACCTCTTCCATCCTGACCCAAGCCACGCTGTCTCTCACACTTAGTTCAGTCCTTGGTACCACCCCCACCCCCAGGTCAGCAGTCAGAAGTGACTTAAAGAGCTACTTAAAATCTGTCAGAAACTGCCACTCCTCTCCTTGAAACCCTCCAAGAACCTACCATCTTTTTCAGACTAATGATCTGCAAGGCCCTAGATGACATCTAGCCCTCACTCTACCTCCGTCCCTCACTATAACTCACTGGCCTTTGCCCTGGCTGCTCTCTGCCTGAACACTCTCCCGCAAATACCCACGATTTGCTCTCTCACTTCCTTCAGGTCTTCACTCAGATGGCCCCTTCCCAGGGAAGGCTTCCTGAAGCCAACCCATCTGCCCATCGAAACTCCCACTGCCCTCACTCTCTGTTCTCTTCTGGCTGCTTTATGGTTTTCATGACATACTACCTAGCTCATCTCACTCAAATATAAGATCCACCAGGGCAGGAATTTTAGTCTGTTCACTGCTGTACCTCCAGTAACTAAACCGGTGCCTGGCATTTAATAGACACTCAGCAAATACTTGCTGAATCACAAAACATCAATGTAAACTTGCAACTGACAAGTCCAGTGAAGAAGCAGAGAATGCTAGGAGAACCTGCAGGAAGACAAGAGAAGCTTGCCTGAGAAAGTCAAACCTTGATCTGAGAACTGAAGGATGAACAGGAGTTAATTAGAATGTGCACAGGCTCAGCAGTGACAGGGACTACAAGCCCTGTGTAGCTACGTGAGAAACCATGAGGAGATCCGTAAATCACATTAGGCTAGTTTTGTCTTTATCCTCTGAGCAACAGAAAGCCACCGAAGTGTTTTAAGAAGAGGGATCATATGAGCAGATTTAGATGTTTGAAAACATTACCATGGCTGCTGGATAGAGCGAAGTTTAGAAGGGTCAGTGGATACAGGCAGATCAGTAAGAGGGTACGCAGCTGACATGAAATGGTATTCTGGATTGGGGTGTTGGGGGTAGAGAGAGAAGGGATAGATGAGATACTTAGGATATTTAAAAAAATCAATGAGATTGGTATTAAGTTAGGTAAGGGAGTGGGGCCATAGGAATTTTAAGGTTTGCTTCCAAATTTCACAAAGTAGTGTGAGATGTCCCAGGAAAATAAAAAATTCCCACATTGATTGGAATTCTATGTCATTATCTAGAACTTCAATGTCCAGAGCTCCTAGTCACAAATGGCTATTGAGCACTTAAAATGTGGCTACTTCAAATAAAGATGTGTCATAACTGTACAATACACATTGAATTTCAAAGTCTTAGTACAGAAAAAAAGAATATAGACTACTTCAATAATTTTATACTGATTAAAAGTTGAAGTGGTAATATTTCAGATGTTGTAGGTTAAGTAAGATTTTAAAATTAATTTTATCTGCTTCATTTTTAAATGTGGCTACTAGGAAATGCAGAGTTACATTAAGTGGCTCGCAGTGTATTTCCACTGGACAGCAATAATTTCATAGGAAATAGCAATATGGTCATTGTCATTTTTTCAAAAGGAAAAAATATATCAAAGAATAAGATGGCTGAATTTCAGGGCAAAGAAAGTATAATTTTTGTAAAGAATTTAGTTTGTTTTGTTCAGGGATGTGAGGAAATTAAAATTTCAGTTTTTGTCATTTTTTTAAAGATTTTATTTGGGAGAGAGAGAGTGCACACGCATATGCGTGTGAGTAGCAGGGGGGAGGGGCAGAGGGAGAGAGCCCGATGCCATTTTCTTTTCCTGCTTTATGTGTGGAATACATTATTTCTCCTATCCCTAATCTAATGGTTCTACCGGGAGAATCCTCATGGTATGGAGTAAATGTTAGGAAAAGACAGAGTTGTGGAAATGAAGGGACTAAAGAGATCATTTAGGCCCACCCCTGTATTTTGTAGGTGACAAACTTGACATATTAAGAGATTAAGTAACTTACTTGAAAGTCACAAGACTACTACTGTCTTTATCACCTAAGACGCAGATGTTTTCTCTAACTCCTTACAATAATTACCCATTCAGGGCCACTGCATACTTGTATATACAACAAATATACTATTATTTTGTTCCCAAAAGAACTAAAAAAATTATCTATCTTATGGCACTGAATATTCGTATTATCAATAGCAGTATTTCTTTTTAAAGATTTTATTTTAGAGAGTGCGTGCACTCATGTGTGCAACTGGGCAGAGGGGCAGAGGAAGAGGGAGAGGGAGGGAGAGAATTTCAAGCAGACTCTGCGCTGAAAGTGGAGCCTAAGGTGGGGCTCGATCTCATGACCCTGAGGTCATGACCTGAGCTGAAACCAAGAGTTGGATGCTTAACCAACTGGGCCATCCGGGCACCCCATCACTTACTTAGTTTTGGGGTACAAAATCATACTTATATTCTTACAAGAGTGGAAAAAGTATTAGTTTTTAGAGTCTGAAACCCAATTCCCACACTTAGCTGTGCAGCAAAGACAACTGTCATTCTGTTTTCTCATCAGTAAAAGAGACACTACCACACTTGGGTTCACACACACACACACACACACACACAGCATAATAAATGGCTTCCAGTAGGTAGATGCATAATAAGTAAAAAAGGCCTTCCATGATCCTCCCTCTTCTCTCCAAAATGTTAACACACTGTCACATTATAAAGGCATAAATAAAGATATAAGGGAACAAACTGCTGGAGCTGTGAAACCCAGTTTCTTATTCCCAGTGTCCTTTGAAAAAGCTTCAAAGTCTTGAGTAAATCATTCAACCTAAGTCTGTTCACCCCTCAGAAGAGTGATGAAGCCTAATCAACCAAAATGACTGAAACAGTCCTACCTATGACTCAGTGATTTTTATCTATGACTGCCACATGAGTTTCTGAGGACAGTCACATCAAAAGCTTTAAACAGTTAAACATTAATATGAATTTGACATTTCTAAAACTTCTTAATTTGTGATACCGTTAATGACCATTCTGTATATTTAAAAGGAAAGTTCTTAAAACTACTCACATCTGGTTGAATGGCTTTAAATACTGGAACATCCATTAGTGTTATCTGACCCTGAAATAAAAGGTAAAAAATGACAATTTCTCCTTGGGAATTCTATGACATGACATATACTCTAAATTAAAATTATATTCCATACTAAAATATACTGAATACTCAAATATTTACTAGAGAAAGTAGCAATTTTACAATGGATTACAGAAAATGAAAATTTGCCCTTATACCATTATTAAATACGATTATTTCAAATTATCTCATGCTGACTCATACTTTTTTATGAGATAAATGAGGTAAAGTTGGAAAATAAAACAAAATTATTTTAAAAATTTGGACACAGTCATACATTAAATCAAAATCAAAACCAAAAATTAGATCTAGTGGTTCATGGAGCAGTATTATGCTGATTATTTCCCCAAACAGTAATATAAAATCTGCTGTTAATACAAAAGTTTTCTTCCCCATTTATAGTGACACTTACACTAGTGGCAACTCATATCTAAGGACTGCACATGGATTGGCCCCACAGCTCAGGGGTTAGGGCACTGGTCTTGTAGGGACTGCACATAGCTGTGGACCTATCCCAGTCTCACCTAAGGCTACAGTTGTAAAACAAGACCCAATAATATACCAAAGAATAATATGTTATAACTGAACCGTTTATTCCGGGAATGCAAGAGTGGTTCAACAACAGGAAATCAAATATGCTGTTAACACGTTAAAGGAGAAAGAGAACTTAAATGAACATTTATGTCAGTTAAGAAAGAAAAGTTTTTCTAGGTATCTTTCATGATATAGCAATAATGCCCTCAAATTTCTTTTTTCTGTTTTTTATTTTACAAAAATGTAAAAATATTTCTTACATAGGTCAATAAAGCACAGTTGGTTGGCTTGGAGAGATGGAATAGGGAGGAGGCAAAAGCAATTACCATAAAGGTAAGTACCCACACTCTTTTCCCCCAATGTGGTGTTTTTTGTTTGTTTGTTTTGAGTAGAGTTGATACACGCCTTTCACATGGTAAGCACTTAGTTCTTATTCGCCAAACTGAAGGTGTAAGGTAGGAAGCTGCTCTACACCGCTCCCCAGCTCTCCCTCCCCTCCCCATTTCACCCCTCTGCTTGCTTCACTGCTGTGCTACTCCCTCAATTCCCGCATCCAGTTGTCTTTAACCACCTCCTTCTGCTGTGCCTTGGTTCAACAGCATCAATGTGTAAGTTATGTGCAGAAACTGGAGAAAGGGGAGGTGGGAAGCTTACCGCATATTCTTCTGGTGTAACCTTAAGAACATCAAACACCACCGCATCAAAGCTTTTCTTCAGTTCGGAACCTTTGTCACTTAATGATTCAGAACTGCTACTTTTCTGTTAAATAGAAAATGCAACCATTTTAACCCTGTCTCACAGTCGATGCCCTAGAAACTCAACTGGCATTAAACGTTGAGGAAAGTGAAAACAGTGGGTCAACAAACACTGCAGACACTGGGGACAACATGCTGCTTAGCTGAAGAAGCACTAGATAAAGGGTCAGGCAAGTGAAAATCTAACCTAGCTTCTAGGTTCTTGGGTCATTTTCTTGTCTGTCAGTTTCCTCATCCTGACATCCTACCATTTCTTATAGAAATTAAAGATTTTAACAAGTTTGATGATTCTCAAATGAGGTAAAGGAAGTTAGGGAGAAGAATACTGTTATTTATAATTTATAAACTAATGTTTTTAAAGAAAAAGACAAACCATAAGAAAATATTCAGAATTTCTTTAAATAATCCAATATTTGTTATGTCCATCTGTGATAATACAACTGATACTATTCTTCCTATTATATTACAAACTTCAGGGTTTTTTGCTTTAAGGTTACTATTTCAAGTTCAAATTTGCCGTTACTGCATATAGAACAAAAGGTGGCTTTTGGCTCTGGAAATCTTATTTCTGTTCTATTTCTGTATCTGCACCGTAAGATAAAGATGTATTCTGCCTCAGCTGGCTAAAATCAGAGCATCATCACTGTAAGAACACTTAGATCATGCTCTATTAAATGGAGGCAGGAGATTAAGCTACAGATAATGGCACAAAAAATTAACCCAAGTTTCAGTTACCAATGTATACTGTATACGTCAGCCTACCAGCTGTGATGTACCAGTTTTGAGCACTTGTCATTATGCCTCATTTTTATGTTCCCTTTCACTTTCGCAGCTAAATATCAAAATCATTTCAAAGGAAAGGATCTGTCATTAATTTGGGAAATTTCATTATTATATTTTAAATATTTCTTCTGCCCCTTTCTCTTCTCCTTCTGGTAGTTCCGTTACGTGTATACTACACTTTCTATCATTGTCCCAGTCCCTGGATACTCTATTCCATTTTTTTTTTCATTCTATTTTCTCTCTGCATTTCAGTTTGGGATGTTTCTATTGACATATCTTCAAGCTCATGAATTCTTTTGTCGGCTGACTATTGGCCACCAGTCAACTGGTGAGCTGATCAAAGTCATTCTTCATTTTTGTCACATGTTTTTGATTTCTAATATTTTCTTTTGATTCTTGGCATTTCAATATTCCTGCTTACATCACCCATCTGTTCTTACAAGTTGTCCATTCTTTCCATTAGACCCCTTAGCATTATTAATCACAAGTCTGATTATTCCAAGATCTTTGCCATATCTGACTCTGGCTTTGTCTATTACCTGCTTTGTCTCTCCAGACTATGTATTTTTCTTACCTTTTAGCAGGCCTTGTAATTTGCTGAAAACCAGACATAATGTATTGGGTAATAGGAACTGCGGGTATATAGGCCTTTAGCGTAAGGATATGCTTCTAAATAGATAAAGAGTCAAGCTGTGTTTACTGTTTGTTGTACTTGAGGTGTCTTGAGTCTTCAATTCCCTCTAGTGTCCTTCTTTGGGTTTCTTTAGAAACTCCTTCTTAGAATCTGTGCCTTGCTGTTCTTTCAGCTATACCCCTTCATTATTATACAGAGGCCCTGTTGATGTGGTGGTAAAGTATGCAGGGAGAAAGTCCAACAATCAGGTCTTTTAGTGGCCTGTGCCCTTGGGTTGTGACCTCAAATACTTCTCAGTACCCCACTGCCAATACCTTAGAAAGTGAGAAAGAAAGGCTGGAGGGAGCTGGAGTTGGGTATTTCTTGTCCACCAAGTAGGTTAGGCTCTGGTAAAGTAGTTTCCCTTGAGGTCAGGGGGAGAACAGAATGCACTGGGCACATTTCAAAATGGTTATTTTCCCCTTCCCCTGCTAGAAGCAGGAAGGGATTTTTCTCTGATCTTCACTGTGAGAACCTGGTAGAGCTTCTAGAGGTAAAACACAAAAGTGGGGGTTGGGGGAACCTAAGATTGGGCCCCCAGGAATCCATACATAGCCTCCAGCAATTTCTCAACTATAGCTTAAGTTTTGCTACTCATTTCTGGCTTCAGTGATTTCTGCTCGTGGTAAACTAATTCTTTACTTGTCTCTCTCTCCAGTTTTTGGGTCATCACTGTCAGTTTGCTCTGTGACATCAATTTTCAGACAGAGCTAAGAAGAGTTACTGTTTTTCAGTTTTTTTCATGTTATGAAGACAGGAGTGGTGAATTCCAACCTCTTTATATATCTGAGCAGAAACCAAAGTCCCGTAATCAGATTTTATACATAGTATTTTATTTCATGGGGTTATTCTCTGTAATTATGACTAGCTTATGTCAATAATATTATTTTATATCCCAAAATTTAGAAATTTATTCATGATGTTAAACATTCAAACAGACATCAGTTACTGACCAAATAACTACATTCTATCAAGCAAAGATATTAATTTTAAATATAACTTTCTCGAACTTTTTAACTCATTCAAGGCAAATTAGCAAATCATAATGGCAACTTTATCACTTATCAAAACAAGGAATCACTTTCCTTTTTTCCTTTTTACAAGTCATTAGGAGAGGCTTAAGAAATTATGAGCAAGACGCTTCTATCTGCTTCCCCAATACCAATAAATAAGTTGGTACTGGTAAGCTACACAGTACTTAAGCATAATGTCCACTAAGGGAATAGTAGTATAGTAGTAATTCTTTATTCAAGACAAGACTAAAAACCACTGACACTTCTAAATATCTGAAAAAAAAAAAATTTAACTGCAGCTCTTCTGATCTCAGGAGCTTCTAGTACTGGTTAAATATTAAGGTCCTAAGACAGGGAAGTCAATCACCCAGATCAAGTATTTTGTCCAATTTGTAAGCTTATCAGATTTATGGGACATTTGCACTTTGATATGTTAATAGATCTGTATTTTAAGAGAAGGTGAAAATATGTATTTTTAATTTTACTTTCTTGCCATAGTGTAAAACAATGTAAAAGATAGCCTTTTTCCACTTACCAAATACTAAATTACACTACTCTGAGGCCTGATGTTAGTTCATTCACTTAGGAGAGTCAACAGATTTTTTTACACAAGTAAAATGATCTATTTTAACAAATAATTATATACTGTTTCCTGTAATACTAGACCAAATGTCTCAGGATATATAGTTATAAATACCATACATACACACACACACACACACGCACACACATAGAATTAACATATGGTTATAAAAATACCAAGTAAACATAAATGTAATATAAATATATATATAAACATGTAATATAATCCTTGTCTCAAGGAGAAAGATAAGTGATGTATAAATTTATGGAAAAAATTATTTTAAAAGTGGGTTTTTTTTTTTAACTGATAGTTTCAAAATATAAAAGCTATCTGTTTAGGGGATCAGGAAAGACTCTGCTGGAGGTATAGCATTTGAAATAGGTTTGAAAGACAGCCAAAATGTCTTTTTTTGTGCAGAGAGGGAGGGGCACATTGGAGTGGGAAGAGAAATGCCATGTAGAAAAACTGATACAGACAAAACTGTAACAAAAGTAGGAGAAAACAACGGTTTATACAAACATCAGCAAGATACAGTATTCTTTCATTAGAATGCAATTTCAAGTCAACAATTAACGGGAGTTAAATCTATTAAAAAGAAAATGTGGGGGCGCCTGGGTGGCTCAGGTGTTAGAAGCGTCTGCCTTCAGCTCAGATCATGGACCTGGGATCGAGCCCCACATCGGGCTCCCTGCTCGGTGGGAGTCTGCTTCTCCCTCTCCCTCTGCCTGCCCCTCCCTCTGCTTGTGTTCTCTCTCTCTGTCAAATAAATAGGTAAGATCTTTAAAAAAAAAAAAAAAAGAAAAAGAAAAGAAAATGTGGAGTCACTTTGACGAGAAAGTCTTGAATAAAAGGTTTAGGGCCATTGGTATTTCATTAGTAGGCAGTGGAGAACCACAGACAATTTGGGGATACAATAAAGCTTAAGAGCTGTATTTTAAGAATATTAAAATTGAATTACAGTCAAATGGACCAAGAACAGCAGAGAATAGAAGTACAAGATCAAACTAAAGGCCTGCTGCAATAATGTAAACAAGAAATAATGACCGAATGCCGATGGTGCTGGTATAAATAAGGAGAAAAGGACCGGATCCTAGCGATGAGGTTTGCTGGACGGGCTCTCAGACGGCTGCCGACCCAACGGTCTCCCTCTCCTGGCACTCACATCCCGTGTGATTCCCTCCACTTGTGTGTGGGCAGGATTGTGACCTGTTTCTAACCAACAGAACATGGCAAAGAGAATGGGCTGTCGCTTCCATGACGACATTACAGAAGACTGTAACTTCTGTTCTGCTAGTGCATTCTCCTGCTGAGATGAGAAAATGACCGTGGTGCGCAAAGTGGAAATCTAAAGATTAAACTCAGATGGCGAGGGAAACAGCGCTGAGATAGACAGTGATGGGAAATGGTGATGCTACTAACAGAAGTCAGAGAAAGGGGTTGCGCTATTTTCTTTACAGGTTGCACAGCAGAATAATAATGAGTAACTTGATTTAAATGTCTGGGCCATCAGAAATGCTTAATAAAAATGCATGAGGGAAGCCAGAGCTAGAGACAGAAATACAGAAATCATCAGCTAAGAAGAATCATCAAAACCACAGACTTAGACTATTTTCATTGACAGCAAGGCCTAAGTAACTGGCTGGAGTTTAAGTTATTAACGAACTTTGAGGCCAAGGAGGTAAAAGGTCATAGACATTACTCTCATCCTCTGTAGTAAGAGAAAAATAAAGGAGAAATATAGGAGCTAGATGTTAAAGTTATTAAGGAAAGCAGGCAAGTACCCTGGATTTAAAGACAAAGCAAAAAAGAAAAACCATGAAGCACAGATAAGAGCACAGCACACAACTCGGAGAGACGGGCACCTGTCTTGGTCTTCACTGCCTTCTCCTCCATCTTTACGCTCTAAGCCACACCCCTTCCAACACTTCAGCCTAGTGATTTGTGACTCTTTCAACAGGCCTGGAATCAAGGGATCTAGATGGTGTCAAAATTATGTGATTCTAAATAAAAGATTCTTTTATTCTCACTTCTACTACTGTCCTCAAGGTTCATGCAATATAAAAACACCCTAAAAAGACATTCTATGTACCCTTTAAAACTAAACTCAAGAAAAACTCTTAAGTAATCATTATTTGTCAAGTATCTTAAGTGGGTAAGGATTATTTCTAAGATGTAGAGTAAACATGCAAATGGCACAATTAAAAGCTTTTTTTAAACTAAAAAATTTGTAGCTCTTCTTCTCAAGTTCTGATTTAAATCTGTGACCAACCATAATGCTTGAAAAATTAGAATGTCAGGTTAAGAGACTCTACAGCCAACCTTACCTCGGAAGCAGGAGCAGCAATATTAACACTGCTTGCCTGCCCGTTCATTAGGTCCATGCTTCCCACAACATCAGTCCTTGACGCTATGTTAACAGCAACAGAAGATAGATGGCTTCACGTCCAAGGCCACAAATACATTATTAGTCCTGTAAAAAATACACAGAAAATTTTAAATATATGTCTTATGGAAAGTTTAAGAAAACAATTCCATGCCTATCACCATGCCAAGAAATAAAAAAAACTTTGCTGAACTCTATTTTTTATTTCAGCCAAGTGACTAAACCCAGCTGGAGGACGATCTTGTATGCTCTTTTCAAATAGAAACACCAAATGGGCTCAAAACATGTTAGTGCTATGTTCTTCATCAGTAAAGCATTAAGTATAATTTTTCACTTACTGTGAGAAAAAAAACATTTTAGTTTTAAGTAAATAAAGAGTGTAAAACAACATGTGGCAAAGTAATACATGGTATAACTCAAGAAATCTTGTAGAGATCTATAAAGCAACAATACTGAGTAGGTTTACCATTGTTGATAAACTGGTTTACAAAGATACCACAAATAAGTGAAAATAAAATATTATGGAATATGTCATACAGAGACCATAGTATGTTTATTTGTATAGGGTTTTAAAGTTTATTGAATATCTTCAATCACTATGTCACTTATCTTCACAACTGCCAATAAGACTAAATTGAGGAAGACATTTTTTATGCTCACATAACACAAGGAAACAGAGCCTCTGCGGGTAAATGAAGAGCCAAGAATAAAACTGAAGCCATCCGAAATTCTAGTCAAATATTATTTCCACAACATCACATTTCTTTCCACTATACTGTAAGTAAGAATATTTACTTGTGTTTTCCATCCCGCTCCACAAATAACTTGTTGTATGCACTATGTTGGTAACTTCATCCTTCTCGGATGGAATTTCTTCCTCTCTGTAAAATGACAGCAGCAAAGGGACTCAGGGCCCCTTTCCAACTTTTAATTTCAATAACCCTTGTGCATAAGAGAAATGGTAAGTTATACCGGCTTTAAAAACTGAGTCTGAAATAGCAATAATAATTCTCTTGATGCTAAGTTTCCTCTCTCTGGAGAAGCAATACAGACAATGATTTAGAAGCAGACTCTAGAACAAGACTGCCTGAGTGTGAAACCAGCAGTTAACTTTTCTGGGCTCAGTTTCCTTACCTATTTTAAAGGTAAGAGTAAGTACTTACCTCACAGAATTGTGGTGAGGAGAAATGAATACATACAAAGCCCATAAAACAGTGCTGACACATGGTAAGGGTGCAATTACAACGATGCAGATTTTGTCTACTTAATTAATCCACACAAAGCTTAAATTCCATGGAGTCTTTGAATTAAAGACGACAAAAACCTTAGTACACATCTGGCAAAATACATGTTGGTGGGTGTCTCCAAAATCCTAATTGCAAATACAGTGAATGAAAACACCTAAAATGTTTCCTGAATGTAGCAAAACATGTTGGTTTTCAAATGCTTAAAAATTATTACTAATGATAGCAACCTTTAGTCACATCTGAAATTAATCTCCATTTCTTCAGATATACTCTAAATACCTGCTAAGAGCAACACATGGTGATATACTCTTTTTTTTTAATGAGAAAGATATTAGAAATAATGGGTTTTTAAAGCCATTTAGAAACCATTTAGAAAATCAATGCAAAAGTGAACGGAGCACTGAAATACTTTAATTTCCTCTAATCTACAGCATTTCATTTTATAAACTTCATTATCCTTATGACACTATTAAGGATCAACTTATATTTACACTGCTATATAAAATGAGCTTGATAATCCAAATTCCCTCTGAAGTCAACACTCAGCAATGACATGTTTTCAAATAATTTCATTTCATTCCAGTCTAGGCATATTGATTGATTTAGATATGAATCCATAGGTCAAGAGTGCCCCCTAGTGTTAAGAAAAAGACTTTAATTAAATTGTTAAAGGAAATGTATTTTTAATCTACTCTTCAAAAACTTTTTTTTTTTACTATTATTTACTGAAAATGAGATAATACAGACCAGGAATAAGAATTACACATTTTTAGGGGCATCTGGGTGGCTCAGTTGGTTAAGAGACCGCCTTCGGCTCAGGTCATGATCCTGGAATTCCGGGATCAAGTCCCACATTGGGCTCCCTGCTCAGCAGGGAGTCTGCTTCTCCCTCTGACCCTCCCCCCTCTCATGCTCTCTCTCTCTCTCAAATAAATAAATAAATAAAATCTTTAAAAAAAAGAATTACACATTTTTAAACTATAAGACATACATTTTAAACTATTAAGTAAAGAATAAAGTTTTCTCTGACTGGTTTTAATTAAAATGCCAAATATTCCATAAATATTAAGATTATACTGAAATCCATTACATGTAAAAAAACCCCACAATTACAGCAAAGCATACCTCAAAGAAAATCATATTCAAAACTATTTATAAATGTACTACATGTCAATAGTATTTAATACTGTTGAAGAACAAAACTTCATATGATACCATAAAACAGAGTCCTTAGAGACAGAAATGGGTTTTTTTTTAGTATGTATTTCAAGACCTTCCTGTGCTTTGCACACAGGAAAGTTCAAATTAAACAAGACAAATACATGCTTTTCCTAGTGCTATGAATGGCACAATCATTCATAATTAACAATATCACAACAGCTCTTTAAAATTCATTATTTCCTACTTATTCTCTTCTAAAACTTCTAAAGATAGTTAATTTCTTTTGGTTTTAAATCCCAAAACAAGCATATTACTTCTTTCCAAGAAATTATAATCCAAAAACAAGGATATTGCTTCTTTCCAAGCAATATAATCCCCAAACAGGAAATCTGAAACGTGTAGATTTAGTTCCTTGCTTGAGGTCACTGAACTAGATTCTTAAACTGCAGGTATATTCAGTCTCCTAAACACCTTACCTTCTCAGTGAGAGTCACACCAGAAATCAGTACTTTTTAACCAAATGAACAAAGGATTAAAGTCAAAGTGTCAACTTCTCAATTAATCTCATTTCATAGTAGCAGTTACATATTCTTTTCTAAAATAAGTTATGCTATCATCATTAGGAATATTATGCTAAAGAAATTCAACAGTTTTATAAAACATACTCTAAAAGAGTTAAGCAACCATAAGGTAAATGGTAGTGAAATGCAATTAATTAGAGCAATTTCTTTGGAAACATTCAGACAATACAGAATTGACAAGCTCATACACTTTGGCTTAAAATCTCAGTCCTAGAAATTCATCTTATGAAAACTCTGGAGAAAGAGAAAAAACTACATAGATACAGCTATTCAATCAAGCACTATTTACAATAGTGAGAACCATTTTAATGCCCTTATATACAACCACATTAAGAAATTCAAATGGACAACTTATAAAAAAGATGAAAATAGAAGCGACAGGTTCAACAACAGAAACTACACCTTATTAAAATATTCTTCTAACTTTCATGAGAAAAAATAGGGTAAAATTAAAACATCATAATTGCAATTCAATATTTAAAAATTACAGAGCTTGCTCTCCTTTAATATTTATTTTTAAAGAAGTATTAAAGACATATTTTACATGACACTCATGGAAGGCACAAAGATTTAAACAGCCTGGGGACGCCTGGGTGGCTCAGTCGGTTAAGCGGCTGCCTTCAGCCCAGGAGTCCTGGGTCCCAGCCCTGCATCAGGCTCCCTGCTCAGCGGGGAGTCCGCTGCTCCCTCTCCCTCTGCCCGCCCCCCCCTTAATGCTTTCTCGCTTGCTCTCTCTCTCCAAAAAAAAAAAAAAAAAAATCAAACAGCCTGTGTATCATAGCATTAAGGCAAGCTCACTTTCAGCATTTGTGACAGCTCAACTTCCACTGCCTTCTTTATTTTTTTAATCTAAGAAAATTAGAACTCAGTCCCAATTCCCCAGTACTTTGTTTCAATAATTAAAGCCATCAAAATGCTTGAGTAACAAAGAAAAAAGATTTTTTTGACATAATTGATATTGAGCTATTCTACCAAAAGTTTATTAAAAACATGGTTGCCTCTTAAAACCATTTCTAGTGTAACAGTAAACAAGATTATCTTTAGTATTTACCACCCTTCAAAGTTCAAGTTATTACAAAAGAAATTAAAAAGAAAAAGGTTCTGATGTACACTCAGGGTTATATGAGTCCCCCAATGCCTCCTGGAGAGAGATCAACAGCCTCCTGCCTCTGTGCTTCCACTGCTCTTTTGTCAAAATTCTAATGCCATTTATTTATGTATTTCTCCCTAATGCGTTAAGAGTTCATTGATATTAAAGACCCATATTTAAAATATGACAAAAAAATCATTATTTTTTATCTTTTCATTCAGGCACATGAACACAATACTTGATCTCAATTACCTACTTAAGTATCTGTTAAAAGAGTGAATGACACAGGACAACATTATATAAATGCCCAACTAAAGTATAGGGTGAATGGCAATCAAATAATCAATACATACAATACTACACACATTTAAAAGAATATGATGAGGATTTCTGCTTCCAGCATTATGGCTAATAAATAATATAAAAATCTTGGGCGCCTGGGTGGCTCAGTGTGTTAAGTGTCTGCCTTTGGCTCAGGTCTTGGTCTCAGGGTCCTGGGATCTTCCGCTCAGGTCAGGATCTCAGAGCCCCATCTTGGGGCTCCCTGTTCACAGGGAGTCTGCTTCTCCCTTTCCCTCTGCCCCTCCCCCCTGCTTGCGAGCTCTCTCTCTCAAATAAATAAATAAAATCTTTTACAAAAGAAATTCAGGAATTGTAGGTTAAATTTTGATACCAGTTGGATTGAAAAGGCAACCAAGAGATGAAAACAGAATTGAGACACACACTCTCCTCCCCACCCCACCCCACCTTTACCTAGAATAAAGCCAGACAGACTGATGGTCTACCCCATCAATGTAAGATGGTGAAAGGAAAGAAAGGAGGAAGGAAGGAAGGTAGGAAGGAAAAGAAAGAGAGAGAGAGAAAGCAAGCAAGCAAGCAAAAGAAAGAAAGAATGAATGAATGAATACATACTGGTATAAGAAGGAAACTAACCTGTCTTGGCCTGAACTTAACATTAAGGCTAAAGGAGAGTGACCACAAATTTGTCTACAAAATAAAAATCTGTAA